CGACAGATTTTGATGGAGGAGACCCACAAATCAAGATTTTCCATCCACCCAGGGGATACAAAGATATATCTCGACTTGAAGCATAATTACCGGTGGCCATTTATGAAGAGAGACGAAGCATGGTTTGTAGAGCGATGTTTGACTTGCCGGAAGGTCAAGGCCGAGCACTAGCAACCTCATGGCAAGTTGTAGGCTCTAGAGGTTCCCTATGGAAGTGGGAGCAGATCACCATGGATTTTATTACAAAGTTACCGAGGACTACGAGGGGTATTGACACTATCTGGGTGATAGTGGATTGTTTGACGAAGAGTGCTTACTTTTTAGCCATTAATGATAACTCTTCTTTTGAGAAGTTGGCCGAGATTTATGTTCGGGAGGTGGTGGCTCGGCATGGGTTTGCCACGTCTATTGTGTCAGACCGGGATGTATGCTTTAAATACAGATTGTGGAAGAGATTTCACGAGGAGTTGTGTACCTGAATACACTTCAGTACTGCATACCATCCACAAACGGATGGGTAGAGCGAGCGGACTATTCAGACGCTCGAGGATATGTTGTGTGCTTGTTTTATTGATTTTGGTGGGAGTTAGGACTCCTATCTTCCGTTGGCTGAGTTTTCTTACAACAACAACTAACATTTGAGTATCAGTATGCCCCTATTCGAGCTCCTTTATGGAAGGAGATGTTCGACTCCTATTTGTTGAGGCTAGGTGGGACAGAGGGTCATGGGGAGCACGGAGGCAGTGTTCAAGACGACTGACCTTATACAACAGGTTCGACACAGATTGCTGACATCATAGAGCCGCCATAAGAGTTAGGCGGATCGGAGACCCTCTGAGCTAGAGTTTCATGTGGGAGTTCTATTGCACATGAAGGTGTCACCCTGGAAGGGTGTTATCCTTTTCAGGAAGTGGGGCAAGCTAGTCCCCATGTTTTTGGTCCTTTCCGAGTTTCAGCCTCGTGTAGGCAAGGTGGCCTACCAATTGGAGCTACCAGAGGAGTCGGGACAGATTCAAGATACCTTCCATGTTTCCCAGCTGAGGAAGTGTATAGCTAACAAGACAGTTGTGGTCCCTTTCGAGGACATTCAGATTGATGATCTCTTGAACTACGTTGAGAAGCATGTGGAAATTATGGACCGAAAAGTGAAGAACTTGAGGAACAATGTAGTGAACTTAGTTAAAGTTCAGTGACAACACCGAAGAGGTTCAGAGTGGATATGGGAACCAGAGTCTGAGATGTGTGACAAATGCACATGGATAGGAACACATACACTATAAAATCTAAGTGGCAAAAGGTTTCTCCACTTCATGAAAATGATTGTGAGGAAACACTTTCACTAAGTAGTTTTTAAAGGATTAGAGTTGGCAGTTAATTGCGTTCTCAAATTCTAGTAGGATTACTGCATCTCTTTTCATAGTTCGAATTGTGAGAGATGACAAATAGGTTGAACATTCGAGATTTATTATTATAAGTTTTGAAAAGTTTAAACACACACTTGTGCTATTTAATCTAAAAGGTGTATGAGCTTGAAAAGTCTAGGCAAAGACTTATTGAAGCATCACGTAGCAAAAATCGAAACTTTGGTATGAAAGTCAATAAGTATTGATTTCTAGAAGTCTAGCTGATTTCTAAGTACATGTCAAAGCTAGTGGGAGCATAATTGTTATGCTGGTAAGAACATAAATGTCATGTTAGTGGGAGCATGATCATTATGTTAAGTGTTGCAAGTAAGCAATGCTACTTATAGGAAACTAAGTTCTAAATTTGCAAAGTTGCAGAATTTGGAAATTGTTTCACTATATTGAGGTTTAAGGGAGAGGTCATCTATACTTCATTTCGAATCCAAAAGTTTAGATTGAAACTTTAATCAAACTTATTCATGGTCATAGATGAAAGTCATGTTGAAATGTTTCAACATAAGAAATTCTATATATGGGTATATTTTAGCAAAAGACTAATCAAGTATCTAGTCTTTATGTAAAACATTATGAATCGTATCTTATATGCTTCGGATATAGGATCGATTGCATATGCTATAATATTCACTCATTCTTATTTTCCAAATGTTTAGGGCATTAAGAGGGAAAAGGACTAGCACCGGATATGACTAAGGTTGTTAAACAACTGTTAACGACAATGTAATATTCACCGAAGATTGGTTGCTTGTGAACAATTGGAGGTATTGTAATTGATGGACCATATTGATATAATTCTGAATAGATATGATTCTATTTAGAATGGATAGTCATATGACAATTATGGAAATGTTTCCATAATGAGAGTTGAATATTAAGAAATATTTGTGTGAGTTAGCAATTTTAATGCAAGAAAGATGTTCAAAGAATGCTTTTTGAATGTGAGACTTCAGTTCTAGGGAATTATCTTGTAACAATCTTCAGGAATACTTTGTAATATCATTGGCGAAGTCTTTATGACTTTGGTGCCTTGACATTACAAAAGGATTATTGTATGATAGTTTAAAATCTAACATATTCTAGTAAGTGGCAAAAATTTTATATTCTTACACTTATAATAAGGATTGGAAATTGTGAAATAAGTATCAATGAAAATGTGTTCCATTCATTTTCTTTTTGTTTAACCATTTGAAAGTTATTTATTTAATTATTTATTTATTTATTTTTATTTTTAATTTTAATGATCAGCAACTTTTTTTTATATGGTTAATCTCCTATAAAGGGTTTCTCGATAACTTTCTATTATAACAAAACTTTAAATTCTATAACCCAAAACCCATTATAATTCCTTATATTTTTGTGACAAAACTGCACAAATGGTCCCTGTGGTTTGCTCGAATTTGCCACTTTGGTCCAAAAAAGTTTGGACTAGCACTACAGGTCCAAAGTTTTCATTTTATTGCGTCTTTGGTCCAAAGCATTTTAAAAATTCTTCAAATGACGGATTTACCCTTCTCTTTTTGTTTTTCTCCTTTTCTTTTTCCTTTACTATTTTTTTATTATTTAATTACGTAGGGTCCCACCCTCTTTCTCTCTCTCTCTCTCTCTCTCTCTCTCTCTCTCTCTCTCTCTCTCTCTCTCTCTCTCTTTTCTCTGTGTGTGTGTGTGTACCAAGCTTCCATGAATTACTACCACTGCAAACACAAACAATACGATGCTTACAACCTCAAAAATCCATAATTTTCAAACCTTTATAGCCAAAAGAAGTCCTATAAAACAAATAAAAATTGGTACTTAAAGAACACCGTTCATTTGTTTCTCTCTCCTCTTGCTAGTGCTACAATTTGAAGCATTATCATGTCCATTGAAACTGTCTAGTCCATTACCAAATCAATTTGTAGCTTCTGGGTTCGAATGAAAGAAAGATTATGATGGAGAAAAAGATGTTTTCGCTGATAACATTTGGAATGAATCAGAGCAGGGTTTGTTGTGGATCTTCACAGCAACGAGGGTTTTTACAGTGGATCTTCATAGCAACGACGGTGAGGGATTTCAGATTGACGGTGAGAGAAATGAATCTGAAGCGGAGGCGAAGCCCTAATTGGATCTTCATAGCAGCGACGACGGAGCCCCAATCGAAGCTAGGGTTCGTTGTGGCTCCGGCGACCTCGATCTTTATATCTAGCCTTCTTCGATTTTTCTAGGACTACCGTTAGCATATCGACTAGTTAATCCGATGAAGGCTTTGAAAAGTGACATCTTTCTCTTCAACGATGATGCCTTCGACAACGCCTTTGACGACGAAGGATACCTTATCTGCCGATGATGGAAGATGAAACCCAAAAAATTGGGTTGGAGAAGATGAAACCAGAAATTGATTCTCCCCAAAAAATGATTCACAACAAATATTTTGAACACAAAAATCGATTTTGGAAGACGATAGTCACTGGAGAAAGACAGAGGAAGGTTATTAATGGGTTTGGGTTGTAGGGAGGAAGAACAACGGGAAGGGAGTATGTTTTTTATTGTATATGTTCTTGAGAGAGAGAGAGAGAGAGAGAGAGAGAGAGAGAGAGAGAGAGAGAGAGAGAGAGAGAGAGAGAGAGAGAGAGAGAGGGACCCTATGTAGTTAAATAATAAAAAATAGTAAAGGAAAAAAAGAAAAGAAAAAAACAAATAAAGAGGGGCAAATCCGTCATTTGAAGAATTTTTAAAATGCTTTGGACCAAAGACGCAACAAAATGAAAACTTTGGACCTGTGGTGCTAGTCCAAGTTTTTTTGGACCAAAATGGCAATTTTGAGCAAACCACAGGGACCATTTGTGCAGTTTTGTCTATTTTTGTTTTAACCATTTGAATATCTTTTTCATTATTTAACCCTTAAATCTTCTTTTCACATTTTCACACATCGATATCTTTAGTTGACTACATATTTTCCTATAATAATAAAAGAATAATTATTAGTAAAATTTATTATTTTTTTCAAATGTTCGATAAAAAAAGATATATTTGTTATTTTTACATCATTTAATAAGTTAGTCAATTATTTATTTGATTTTTAATTTTTTGAAAAAATTTAAATTTATCTTGAATAACTTTCGGATATAATTGCTGATAATTAATTGTACTTTTATATTAGAAATCTTACAAAATCATATTCAATTAATAATTTATTAAAAATAATTGATGAATAATTATAAGTTTTACGATCATATTTTAATTATTTTTATAATCGTGGGTTTAACGCGCTATAATGTAATTATATATATTTTTTCACATTTTAAAATATAATAATCATTAATACGCCAGTCTGTTATAGAATTACTCATTAGTAATAGGAAATCTTCTATTTTTGCCATTTTAGTTATCAAAAATCATTCAAAATCGAACCACTTCCACATAAAAAAAAATAAAATAAATAATAATAATAATAATAATAATAATAATAATAATAATAATAATAATAATAATAATCACATTTAAAAGCAAAGAATTAACAGCATACAATTAAGGCCTTGATGAAAAGCTTTAAATTAATCAAATACAACAACACAAAATCAAAAACGAATTAATGTTCCATTCTCATGCCTGAATTAATTCCTCACAAACACTATTACTTGTACACACAACACATACATATCCATTTGCTTGCCATAACAACCATCACCATACCATACCGATCATACTCCCTCTTCTCTTCTGTATCACATCAAATTTTATATTTATATATTAATATTTAATAATCAACACAACCGCTAAAAAACCAACCACAAATTTATAAATTTTCTTTAATTCTTGCTCACAAAAAAAACCAACATCAACAAATTATAAAACTTGCCCACTTAATTTAGAAATCCAGTCCCTTGCATGTTCTTAGTAGTGTATTATTCATAGGTTAATAATTTTTATGTTATGATTTCGAAACTCAATATTGACTTAAACCATTCATTTTTTTAATAGTTATCTTCATTCATTAATGCAATATAACATCTCTAGGAACTTAATTAAACCAACTATTCATCTCTAGAAAAGTTCTAACTTTTTTTTTTATCATACAAGGTTGATTTATCGGCATTCATTGGGTTTTACACGATAATTTGTCATTTTCTGTTAAAAGAAACTTAAAGAGTTGGGCAAAATATTAGATAATTGAGGCTTTTCTGTTTAAAAACAAAAGTTGAAACTTTTCTATAAATTAAGCCAAAATAATGGGATTTTTATGGAGATAACCCATTAAATCAATAACATTAATCAAGTTATTTTTGAATGTCGATACAAAACCTAGAAAGTCTATAGAAATAAAACCTAAAAAGCAATCAAGTGGAGGATTGCAACATCAATTGACCAATTAAGAAAACGTAATTTCATATGAAATAATCATAAATAACTCATATTTAGATTATAAATTCAAAAAGATGGAAACTTGTGGAAAATAGTAAGCGTATTTTACACCTTGTATCAATATGGGTGATACTTTTTTCCTTTCTACATTTAACAACTTAAATTTTTTTTACTCATTAAGAATATACTCACATGTTTTATTTATAATATCAACATGCAACCCATTATACACATAAATAACAACATACTTATATTTTTGTATCATATAGCTACATATAATTAGCAATGTTATCATGTTATCTTCTCTTACCAACCTTTTCAAAACATTCTAAAAAAACACCTAACAAAAACAAAAACCATAGAAAACAATAACCTACTTTACACTTTTTATTATTAGCAATACACAACATACTTGTTTTTTTACCTATAACAACAATTCACACACACCTATCCACCTATAATAACAACACACTTACATATTTTTATCTGTAATACCAATACACAACTCATGACACAACATACGTATATTTTATGCACCATTACACTTATATTCATTAGTAAAAATAAAAATGAGTATGTTAAGTATATATAATTAATATTATATTATAAATAATAAAGATTAATGAAAGTTTTTATAATTAAAAAAGGGTTGTCCGTACGTGCATGGGTTTGACCTAAAAGCAAAGAGAAAAAGAGGGACCACCAATGAAACCCTAGTGAGGTGCGTGCCTGCCATTTTCCCATTGCTCGAGATTTCAGCAAAAAAAAAAAAAAATTAAAAAAATTAAAAAATAAATTTCGGTTTCAGTGAAACACAATTGCCATTGGCTAATAAACTAAATTAAATCCATTTTAATTTAAGGAAAGCTGTCGGATTATTTAGCGTAATCACTTTCTTTTAATCTCGGTGCTTAACACCTGTCTTTTCCTCTAGACATGCTTGAAATTAAGGAAACCAAACTATATTTGAATCCATAAACCCAACCAAAAAAAAAAAAGACAACACATTGTATTGTATGATTGTTTATTGTTTGTAAGTACCCCCACACTGATCCATTTACATAAAAATCAAATCTTTAACAGATTATAATAATCTTTATATCCATCTTTTTGATGTTTTCTTTTGTTTGATCCATATTGTAGGCAAGAAACGTGATCTTTATTTGTACCTATTGTGTGTATTTATGTATATACACATGGAAAGTAACTTTTGAAATATACAAGAAAAGACACGAAATTTGGATTAAAAATGTTTACTTGATTTATTATTTGAATGTGTTAAGAATTGAAATGAAGTATAACTCAATATGATTGGTAGAATTTCACATTAAGAAAGTGATAATCTTGATCTTGGAATTAATATTGATTTTTGGTGATGTTTAATGATGGAAAATACTGGAAGAAGTTGAGAAAATTAAAAGGGAATTACCAGAGATGGAGAAGACTTAGTTCTTTGACTTTTCCTTATGATGATCAGAGTGACGAGCTCCACCGTCTGCTCCACCGTATAGTTGCCGGCGTTGGGAGTCATACCCTATTGCCGGGAAATGTTCTGGAGCTCCGGAGCCGATGGTCGGAGCTATGAAGAACGGGAAGTTTGTAGAAGTGGATCCATCCACCATAGATGGCGACTGAAACCTCTGGAGGTGGTGGTGGTGATGAGGCAAAATAGATAATAAATTGGACTGAAGGGTCCCCCTATTGAAACCCGGAGCAATACCGCCGCCGGAAGACGATGATGCAATGGAGAAATTTAAGTTATAGCTTTCTCCGCCACCGTCGCCGCCACTAGTCGTCACAACCGGTGCAAAATTCTCTTGAAGGAAAGAGAAATGGTGCTGCTGCGGGTGGTTATCTACGGCGGCGATGTTGAACTGTGGCATTTGGAAAATTTGGGGTGAAGACTGTGGTGGACGGTTGAAGAAGTAATCCATTGGGGTTGTCCACTGCATTCTGGATTCGGGAGTCGCCGCTGGGTTCGGAGTAACGGTGTTGCTGTTAATCCCGCCGGTGAGAAGATCCGTAAAGGATGAGTTATGAGCGATACCGTTAACTTGAGTCGCAACAGAAGCCCTAACGTGATCAGTGTCCTTTTCCTTTTCCTTCTTCGCCGCCATTTCTCGAGCTCGTTCTCGAGCTCTGATCCGATTTTCAGATCGCGATAAGGAAAGTCCAGAACCTTTACTGGTCTCCGATGTGCTACTGCAAGCCGACGATTTCGATAACGAAACATTATTATTATTATTGTTATTCTGCTCGTGGTGATTTTGGTAGTTCGGATCTTCAAATTCGGCGTCGTGTCCGGTGGATTTCTTCGCATCGCTCAGCTGCTTCTGGTGCTGGTTGTTATGGTCGTGGTGGTGGTGCTGGTTATGGCTGTCGGCACCGGTAAACGACGGATCAAGAGATGGAAGCTCAGCGATAGAACCCGACGCCGCCTTAATCAACCACTCCACCGCTTTACTCGGCTGATCATAACCTAATCGGTCTTGCAGATCGTAAAACTGGATGGCTGTCGTTACCGACAGCCGTACACGGCGGTCTCTCAACCCTTTCGATGTCAAAACCTTGCTATGTCTATCCTTCCCACCCGAAGCCCTAGAAACCCTAACGATTCGAGACGCCGGCCATCCACAAAGCCTCCCGCCAACGCCACCATTCTCATCGGGAAACCGATGCTCATGGTTTCGTAAATCCAAATTCCCTCTCAGAGTTGCTATTTTATGAGGGTTTGAAGAATTATCTCCATTAGAACCAATCCTTTGAAACTTACTCACCTGTCGTTCAATTTCATCCACCTCCATACCCTTCTTCAATCATCCCTTGTTTCCACCACCACCACCACCAGATCCGCCGTATCTTTTTCTCTCTCTCTCTCTCTTTTCTGTCTTATCCCTTTTAGAGAGAGAAAGTTACGGCCTAAATCTAGAGAGAGAAAGAGAGAAAAGTAAATTTAGAGTACATGTGAGTGAGCAGGTGCGTTTGAAAGGGCTACTGTATTAGTTGGTCTCCTTTGCATTGATGACTGATAACATTACAGAAACAATACACACATTAGTGTGTGTAAAACATATAGATACAAATGTGTGTATGTATATATTTTGTGGGTTTGATGTATCATGTTCATAAGGTCTTGCAGGATGGAAATGTCAGAAGGGAAGCTCCGTTTGAAACTTATCTTTTTGCAGTGTCATTCAGAAAAGCAAAGCCTGTAAATTTCATCAGAGAAAGAAAGAGAGAGAGAAGATATGCATTCAAACAGTTAAAAACCAAAAAAATTAAAGATTTTTAAAGCAATAATTGTAAGCACTTGTGGGTTTTAATCTTTTTTTATTGTAATTAAAAGTTCTTGTTTTTTTATATATATATTCTTATATGAAAACCTTGACGACGTACTTCATGGAAAGGTTTAAACATTTATAATCCAAATCATTTTGGGTATGCTTGTTTAAACATACCTTTCAATCTTTTTAATTTTGATCTATTTAGTAAAAGCACCATATTTACACATAGAATGATAACACAAAACCATTTTTTCGAAATTGAAAAAATGACCATAAATATGAATATGAGCCTAATGATATGCTGAAACGTTTTTTTAGACATAAAATGCCACTGATAAACTTTTACGGATACATTTAATGTTTCATGAGGTATATTTATATATGACACATTCGAGAGTAGTTTTGTTTTATTTGTTCTCCATACATCATTCAACCATACACAAAAATTTATTATGGATAAAGAATCACAAGGAAATGTATTTCTATCCAAATAAATTTTTGAAGATTATATATTTAGATACTCGAATAGTGTTTGCAATATGGTTTATGACTTCCTCAAGAAGTTGGTCGTTCGCTATAACCTTTATTCGATTGTATTTCCATATAACAACACATGAGAATAAATCAAAGAGTTTACTGCTATATTTATTTTGGAGGCCAAATTGAAGATGTTGGAGGATGTTCATTAGAACAAGGTTGATTCTTGGGACAAGACCAAATGGGAGCAGGCATTAAAGAACTTGAGAGGCGAACGTGAGGTTGGCGAGAAGGATGATGAGGATATGGGAGGAAAAAATGTGAGGGGTCAAGATGTAGATTCTTGGATTTGTTGTTGTTGGGTTGTTCGAACAATATTTTGGTTTGTGTTTAAGACATCGTTTGCTATGTAATAGTTTGATCTAGGTTTTGTATGTTCATGGAAGAATGATTGTTTTATTTTAAATGTTATGAATGGTTGAAAATAATTTCTTAGAAAATATTTTTCAAAGAAAAACTTCGAAAAATGTACTGAAAATGAATAGCTTTTGTTTAAAATTTGATTAAGAATATTGAGCAAGAAGATTTCAAACAAGTAATAAGAAGTAAAACCATTGATGGGTAGTTGGGGAACTTCGAAATAACATACATTTTTCAGAAATTAACTATTATGAGTAGAATAGTTTAGGGGTTGAATTGATACGGTACAAATTTGTATTTCTTTAAATCGTGTACCATACCAATTATAATTTGTACTGTTGGAATCTTAAGTCGAGTAGGACTTGAAGACCAAGTTATAACGGGACTTTAGCAAGTTGGTTTTAGAGTCCTAGTACAATTCTAATTACAAGTCGGTAGATTAGAATCTATAGATACATCTTGTTTAGCCGTGTAGGGTTAAGAGAGGTTGTATTCATAAATGGAGTTTTGAGTTATTTTCTCATTTAGTCAAAGAGATAGTTTGATTAATTGTTTGAGTTATTCACAAAAGAAACTGGTTTACATGATTGCAATCCGACCCACATTCCAATGGAACCGGGATATAAATTGTCGAAGGCCGAAGATGAACCCGAAATCGACCCGACACAATATCGAAAGGTGGTAGGATGTCTTAGATATCTCTTGCGAACAAGACCTGGTATGTCATATACGGTTGGAGTTGTTAGCCAATACATGCAAAGTCCAAGAGAATCACATGGTGTTGCAATCAAACACATTTTAAGGTACTTACGAGGAACAACGGGATACAGAATCAAGTACGAGAGGATGGGAAAAAGGCGACTTATTGGTTATAGTGATAGTAGTCACAATGTTGACCCGGATAACGGAAGAAGCACAACCGGTCAAATTTTCTACTACGGATCATCTTCAATTACATGATGTTCACAAAAACAAGATACCGTTGCTTTTATCATCTTGCGAAGCGGAGTTCATGGCAGTCATGGCGACCGCATGTCAAGCAATATGGCTTTAAGATTTGCTTGGAGAAATCATGAACAAAGCGCAAGAGAAAGTGATTCTTAAAGTTGATAACAAATCGACTATCGAACTAACGAAGAATCTTGTCTTTCATGGAAGAAGTAAACACATTCATACGAGGTTTCACTTTATTCGTAATTGTGTTGACAGGGAACAAGTGGAGGTAGAGTACATTCCCGGTGAAGAACAAAGGGCGGATATTCTTACAAAACCGCTAGCTTGAACCAAGTTCAAGGAAATGCGGATCTTGATCGGGGTTGAAGAATTCTCTAGAAGGACTTAGAGATTCGGGGGTGATGTTGGAATCCTAAGTCGAGTAGGACTTGGAGACCAAGTTATAACGGGACTTTAGCAAGTTGGTTTTAGAGTCCTAATACAATTCTAGTTACAAGTCGGTAGATTAGAATCTATATATACATCTTGTTTAGCCGTGTAGGGTTAAGAGAGATTGTATTCACAAATTGAGTTTTGAGTTATTTTCTCATTTAATCAAAGAGATAGTTTGATTAATTGTTTGTGTTATACATTCTTGAATTGATGTACACAAATTTTGCTATAGGTACCGTACCAAGTTTGATTAATTGTTTGTGTTATAACACGTTGAAACTATAGTTACAAAATTAATTAAATTTTCATAGTGCGAACAACTATTTTAAATAAACTATCAATTAAGAGATATTTTTTTAATTATATAAAATTATAATCGTTAATTTAAATAAATACGTGAATTTATATCACCTTATAATTTGTATTAATTTTATCTTTATTTTTATTTTAATGTTATTAATTTAATATAATTAGAATGTGAAATTTAAAATTTGAAGTTTGAAATAAAAAATTAATAGGTTGACAAGTGTCATTCATTAATTAGGATAGGGTGTCACATGGCAAAAAAAAAGAATAAAGTATGCATTAATTAGGATGCTTAATATGATGACACATGTCAAACGGAGATTAAAACTATTCTTTTATTAGAATATATATATATATATATATATCTTTACTATCTTATAAAAGAAATCTCACTATTTCTATAAATAGATTCAATATAATAATAATATTTTTTTAAGACGTTCAAATCATTAAGCTAATGGTACAAGTAGCCATCAATAAAATAATAATATTTTTTAAGTCGTACAAAACATGAAGAATGATGTACAATTAACCGATGCATATTCTTATGGGGGTTTGACCCGTTTCTTTAGTCCTGATGATAGTTGTGAAGAAGCCCAAGATCCCGGCAAAAATCTTTCGGTTCTTGGCCCCCTTCCCCTATATCCGTTCTTCTTCTCCTTCGTAGAAATCATCCCATTTCTCTTTCTACTAAACAAGTTTTCTTCCTCTCTCAGTAAAAAAAACCCTAAGTCCACTCAGTTACGTCCTGCGTACCACCACCGTGTTTCTCCTTCTTCACTGCTTATGAGTACAAGTACTCTATATCACAACAACACGTTTGAAATTTGAATTAGTATCCCCTCATTTTTCAACAATCTAATTGTATCCTCTCATTTCCAGCAATTGATTCGTTCATACATACGAGATACATGTTATATAAACGCATCTCCTCTCCCAGCCAATTAAAACCCTAAAATTCTAAATTCTCTCAATCGGTGACTAACTCCCACCTGCAGAAGATGTAGACGACGACCACCACGCATAAATACCGACCGCGGTCACTCAGGCTAACTCTTTTGTTTTGATTGATGTCAGGTTAGATTTTTCTCATACATAGAAAATCAAAGGGGCTACCTAACTTGAAGAAAATGCAAAGGGAACAAAGAAACGATGATTTTATGTACAGATTAGGTGAAATACAAAATTATAACTTTTTTCTCTACCTGTTTACTGTTGGTACTGGTGATTGTAGTTTAGGGTTTGTAACATGGTCAATTTTAGATGGATCTGTTTCTTATGATTTTTTTTTCTTTGATTTTTCTATTTGTTCTTTTTTTGCCAATTTACTTGAATGATTTTTGGTTTTTGTTTGTCATTTTCGTTCTTAGCTGGTATTAACACACTTTGTATGAAAGATTCATGTCATATGTCTATTTTTTGGCAACAAAACTGTTGGCTTGATATGTTTATCACAACCTTGGTAGCTTAAGGGTTGACCTTTCGAGGATATAAGCTTTTCTATGGTACTGACATTTCCTCTTTGTTTCATCCATAAAAGAACCCTTTCCCTCACTAAAAAAAGAAAAGTAGTAAGATGAAGAAGATAATCTCACACTTAAAGATGAAGGAAAAGGTAAACTTGTGCTTCATTTCGTTAATCATAGCTCTGATAAGAAGAATCTGATAGCTTACACCCATTCTCTGTCTCTCCCCCCCTGTGTGTGTGTGTGTATCTGATGGTCTCTCTCTAAAAGCAATTAAGTGATAGTTTTATGTGATGGCTTGCTTACATATTGATATGTTAAATAAGCTTATACTATTATTTGATACTTGAAACATTAATATAAATACTACTTACAGATAGAGGAAGATTGCTACCCCTGTTATTATTTCCTTTGTTTTTCTTGTTGGAGAGAGACTCTTAAAAATCACATTGTTTTCAAAACTGG